CTTTGTCATCTTTTTTTCAAATTTTTAATTCTCTAACAAAAAGAAATATTAATAAAATATATTTTAAGGAAGTAATGCGGTAAAATTTTTTTCATATCTAAAATTAATTCCAAAGGTGTCTCTTTGATGGACGTGTTCATCCATTAGTCATTTTTGTCAAAGGCTGTAGTACCGATTCCGAATTTCAAATTTGAAATTTGAAACAATTTCGGTGAGTAATGTCGCTAAAATCATAAAAATAAAATAAATCGACAGCTCTTTTCTATCCCCACAAAAAAATATTTGCTACAGGTCCACTATACCAAGCCCCCATAAACCTGGCATTTTGAAGGTTACTGCCACTATAATCTAGAAATATTGGGTAAGGGTCACACTTGGTTCAAAGTGGTCAGATAAGGTTGGGTTTTTGGAAAGTCGTACTAGAACGGCAGCAAAAGCATAAAAAGGTACTAAATATGGTACCATTTGTACATTTATGCTATTAAAAGAGTAAAAATAATTCACTTTATCCTGGCATTCAGATTCTATTGAGGTTGGCAACAAATGATTTCTCAATCAAAGGGTTTTCCAAACTATTTTTGACCCAATCAGGTATAGCATGGACTACAATTGTGTAATCTTCCTCCGAACTTATGTTCACCTTTCTCAACCACTCTCTCTATCTCTCTCTCTCTCCCGCAATACCATCATTCATATTAAATGATGAGAAAATTCATGTTAATGACTATCTATAGCCAAACGATTGCAGGTAATGAGCAATAATTTAATGTTTTTAATGTCCTATTAATTTAGTTATACAGTGGTTTCGAAACCAGCATAATAATCTTGTACCTTAACCACAAAATGGACACAAAACCTCAAGATTGTACTCATTCACATTAAAAACTAATAAGAATGTTCTGTTAATGCAAAACATACAAATGTCGACATTAAATTGTACAGCCAAGGAAAAAAGTCTGTTCTTTTTATACCCACAGCCTGCCAAAACTTGCATCATTGAAATTACGGTTTTTGACCCTAGGTATCTTTGGCAAATTCGTTTCAGAACATGAAGTCGATCTAGGGATGTCCGTCCATCTGTCCGGCCGGCGCAAGATAGCTCTAGAATGGAGTATCCATTTTTGTCCAAACTTGGTATATCGAAATATTTCTATCAAACTTAGATCGAGTTCGGAGATGGACAGTATCGGTCTACTCCAACTGGTAGCTCCCCCCACAAAGTCAAAAACATTAAAACATTATTAAAACATTAAAAGATCATTCAATTTTGTGAAAGCTTGGATATCCTAATATTTTTACCAGCTCTAGATCAAATCTGAAAATGTATAATATCGGCCCACTCCATCAATTACCTCCTCCTCAAAGGGTCAACATTTTGAATAGATATGGCACATATAAAAAATTAAATAAAGGGGTAGATTGTCTTCAAATTTCGTATATTTGAATGTTTTTACTAAGTCCAGATTTAGCATGAATATTGGTTTGGACAGGTCACTTCTTTTGGTATCTCCCCCGTCAAAATTTTGAATACCCATAACCTTCATAGCCTTCAAAAAAAAGCATTCCATTCTTTTCACTCATTCTAATATTTATACCTACTCTATATCTTCCACGAAGATGGGATAGATTTGAAACTCCTTCTGAATAACCACGACGCTCATTAAATGCAAAATAAGCATCCGAATCTCTTCAAATTTCACACATCCTAATTTTTCTATCATCACAAAATCTTGTATGAATATTGGATATATTGATTCACTCCTTCTGGTACCTTTCCCACAACGAATCAAAACCATGAATAACCACGAGGCTTATAAAAAATTAACACATCCCAAAATTTCTATCAAAAAAAAAAAAAAAAAAAAGAACTACAAAATCTAAATGAAAATAAAACATATCGGACCACTACTTCTAGTATCTCCGCCACAACGAATCAACATTTTGAATAACCATGGAACTCATCATATGCGAACTAAGCATCGAATTCTCTTAAATTTTCACATATCCCTCTATAGTTATTAACTCAAGATCTAATGTGAAGACGAGGTATATTGGCTCACTCCTTTTGGCTCAAAAGTTTCAATATTTATATCTCTTTAAATTGCCAAACAATTTATAGCATCAGTGGCTTCCATACCAAATTTCAGAATTCCAGGTCTATCCTATGACCCAGTAATATTACTTCCAAATTTTAGCATATAAGCTGAATTAGTTCACACTAATGAGAACTGTACCAAATTTAGCTCTAACCGTTCACATGATAAGAAATGGTACCAAATATTGTACATTTTAGTACTTTTCTTACATTTATAGTGCGCATTTCCGAAAACTTTTTGGTAAAGGGTGTTTTTTTTTTTTTTTGAACTTGCAATTGTAAAAAGTAACACAAAACATTAAATTTTAATCAAATTTTTTTTATTCAAAAGATCGATACGTGACATTAACATTTGAAAATGATTTCGGGCATATGGGCACCGCGGCTGTTCTTGTTTATCAGCATAAACCAGTGACTTCACGTAGCCCCACAGGAAATAATCGAGAGGTATTAAATCGCACGACCTTGGAGGCCAATTGACAGGTCCACTTCTCGAAATCAACTTATCGCCAAATTTTGATAAGTCGATGGTTGCGTTCGCCGTATGGCACGTAGCGCCATCCTGTTGAAACCACATCTCCTCCAGATCAATGTCATCCATATTTTTAAACAAAAATTCATTGATCATGTTGCGGTAACGATCTCCATTGACCGTAACGCGAGGTCCGGCCTCATTTTTGAAGAAATAATGTCCGATGATGCCACCAGTGTGAAAACCGCACCATACGGTGCATTTTTCTGGATGTAATGGAGTCTGTAGGGTCTCTTGTGGATTGGTCTCACTCCATATGCGGCAATTTTGCTTATTAACAAACCCGTTAAGCCAAAAATGCGCCTCATCGCTGAACACAATTTTGCGATAAAACAACGGGTCATTTGCCAACTGCTCTAGAGCCTGAAACCACATCTCCTCCGGATCAATGTCATCCATATTTTTAAACAAAAAATCATTGATCATGGTGCGGTAACGATCTCCATTGACCGTGACGCGAGCTCCGGCCTCATTTTTGAAGAAATAAGGTCCGATGATGCCACCAGCGTGAAAACTGAACACAACGGGTCATTTGCCAACTTGTCTAGAGCCTGATTTTTAAAATAAAATTTGTATAATTTCGTAGCGTTTTTCAAGCGTGATTCTATTCACGATGATTTTTCAGAGTATGCTGAACAAATAAAGAAAAAGTTTCATCAAAATTTAATTTTTTGTGTTACTTTTTACAATTCAAAGTGCATTCATCTTACATTTTATCTGTGACCCTCATTCCGAATTAGGAGCTCTAGCTCCACTGGTTCGTCATAAACAAAGGATACCATATTGATAGGTCAAAACGTGCCTAGTCGAAATAACAGAATCCGAAATCCAGGATAACTCTCAAAGGCAGTATCCGATTTAGTCCAATTTAGTACATCGTAATATTTTTGTCAAACTTAGATCGAGTTCGGAGATGGGCAATATCGGTCCCCAACAAAAGGCCGAAATTTTCAAAAAATATATTTTCTTTTTATTTTGAATAATTACAACTCTTTTAAAATGTTCACACATTTTAATTAACCAAAGGTCTGATGTTAAGATGGAATATATCGGACCACTCCTTTTCTTACCTCCCCCACAAAGGGCCAAAAATTTTGAATATCTTTGAAAATAGTAAGACGCGAAATTAACATTCAATTCGATTCAGACTTGGCATATCTAAATACTTCTATCAACACAAGATCTGTTATAAAGATGGTACAGATCCAACCATTTCTTCATGTAGCTTCCCATAAAGGGTCAAAGTTTTGAATAACCAAATCGATTATAAAATCCGAAACAAGCATCCGCTTCTCTTCATATTTCACATATCTCATTATTTCTTCTAACACAAAATCTATCAATACAAGATCGTATATAAAAATGGTAAAGATAGGACCATTCCTTCTAGTACCACCCCCAAAAAGGGTCAAAGTTTCAAATAATAAAAAAACGATCATAAAATCCGGAAAAAAAAAACATCCGGTTCTCTTCATATTTCCCACATCCCATTATTTCTACTGATCACATGATCTGCTGGGAAGATGGCATATATCGGGCTACTCTTACTGGTACCTTCCCCGCAAATGGTCAAAATTTTGAATATCCATGAAGCTGATAAAACGTAAAATTAATATCCGATTCCATTCAGACTTGGCAAATATCAATATTTTTATCAATATCAATATTTCTGTTAGAAAGATGGTAGATATCGGACCTTTTCTTCATGTACTTCCCCCACAAAGGGTCAAAGTTTTGAATAACCAAAACGATTATATAGTCCGAAATAAGCACTTTATATTTCACACATGCCATTATTTCTACAAACACATAATCTGCTGTGAAAATGGGATATATAGGCACGTTCCTTCTGGTACTTCCCACAAATTTATATATCTGGTATCTCAAGCATATTTCCACATTTCCCTATAAGGTACAAGAAAATATCACATATATAGTGTAGGAAGTAGATAATATAGTCCAAATATGGCACGTTGTAATACTTACCTCTGCTATAAAGGGTCTACACTGTGAATAACCATAACTCAAGGTTGGGGGTATAATATGTCGGCAATACCGACTGATACTTTTTAACATGTTCTAACAGACATTTTCCCCCCAGTGTAAACCGCAACTTATTTCAATTGATTATTGTTGTTGTTGTTGCTTCCAATCTCAAACATTTGCCATTCTCCCGCATTTCTTGCTTGCAAATAAATGATGAGTGTTTGAGCGACAACAATGCAAACGAAAAGAAAACAAAACAACAAAAAACAACTCATTCCATTGTCTGGAAAAGATTCTCCCACTTCCATTCACATAGAGTGGGGGGGAGAGTGAGGGCCACCAGTCAATCGACGATGTTGTGCAAAATACAACGCTCACTCACTCAAAACTGATAAGAACGCATTTCGCTCGTCGAATGAATATAAAAATAAATTTCTCTTCGCATTGTTTGACACTCGATTCGGTTAAGTGAACATTTAGTGTTGTTAGGTTGTGGCTGCTGCCGGCATTTAATCGGCTCATAAAATTTTATTAATAACGCCAAATACCACTTGAAGCGTTTTCCCCATTCAATTCTTAGTCGCTGCTTTAAGAGACGAGACTGAAGCAAATCACAAAAAAAAAATACTAAAGGCAAACAGAACATTTTTAAATACTTTTACATATATCGCGATTTGGAGTCGTGGAAAACACTTGAAATTGTTTAGACGTGTTACTCTCGTCGAAGAAAATCTATCCATTTGCAGTTTTAGAATAAATCTCAGACAAAAATAACAAAAAAATGGTGCGCGTAATCGAAGATACTTTTGGCACTGCCATCAATCCCTTGACTAAACAAATGGAGGAAATAAAACGCTTTACCATCACAAACGGTATGCAAATGAAAGTGCAGGTGAGTTGGAAATTACGACGACGACCAAGAAGTAGAAGACGTGTGGCAGAGTGCGACAAAATGTAGCTGATTATGCAGGTTGTTTCTTTGTTTTCTATTTTTTGCTGGGCGAGAAGTAGGAGCGTTTAATGTAACGCCTATTTCTGGGATGGTAAAGTTTAAGGCGCTGAAGTTATATGCGAAGTAAGGCGATTACTTTTTGTTGTAGCAAAATGTAGCAAAGTGTTTTTTCCAAGTGTTTTGTTTTTTATTTACTTTTCTATTGGCATTTATAAAGGCCACGCTGAGATGTGATGACATGGGTTGGCATGTGACAAAATTGTATTATTTCTCTATAAAACAAGTGAAAATGTCAATACCCAGTTTCGGTATATGAGTGAGTTCTCTTCAGAGCTACAAGTACCAAACAAATCGATAGAAAATGTGGTAAAGTCTTAAAACATATATATGCCATGGTCATATCAAATTTTATATATGTATGCAAAAATTTGCCCAATTTACACCTTCAACAGTAATTATACATTTTTGGCCAAATCTTAAAAAAAAAAATTTTATCGGTACCGAAGAAAACGTATTCTTTCCAATTATTGTATTGTTATATTCTACAACAGTATGTGTGGAAAGTATATATGGATCTTCCGTCTGTATGTCCGTCCGACAGTCTGTCCGTATGTCCGTCTGTCCATGTTAGTTTGTAATCAAGCTACAGGTCGCAATTATGAACCGATCCACACGAAATTGAAAATGGAGGTGGGGTTATGGTCAGAATAGAACCCCATTGTTTTTGGAGATAATCGCACGATATTTAGGGGTTGAAATGGACCAAAAACAGAAAAATTTCCTGATTTTGCAGCTGCTCTATAGGCCACAATCATGAACCAATCGACGCGAAAATTTACATGGAGTTAAAGATTAGGAGTGGGCAGAAACCTACAAATTTGGCCAACAGAAGAAGTCAATTGTGAAAACTCAACGTGCTTTTAAAACATTAAAGAATGTGAGAAGTGCGCCTTCTAAGAACACCATTAAGCGTTTATACGAAAAATTTTCGACTGGTAAGGCTCTTTCTAATCCGAAGAGGCCATATAAAAGTCGACCAAGGCGATCGGCCGAGAATATCGCTGCCGTACGAGCCAGTGTTGAGAGGTCTCCAAGAACATCCCAAAACCGCCGTTCTCAGCAGTTGGGCATGGCTCGGTCCACTTTACAACGGATTATTCGCATTGAGTTGCATTTGTTCCCGTACAAAATTCAATTGACGCAAAGAATGTTGCCTGGGCCCATGGGCCCAAAGAGTCATGGGTCCGTCGAATATGGGCAACCCCCTATGTATAAGAATTGATCTTATTTATTCTGCTTATAAATCATGAACCGCTGGGACGAATTTTCACAATTCCCATCAATTCGGAATGGTCTCTTGCCAAAAAACGATAAAATCTAAGAAAATCGCGGAAAAATATACCAATAAAAAAGTGTATATATTTTGTCTAATTTTTTAAAATTTTGTTATATTTTTTATCGCATAGGATTTTTTCAATTTGACTTACAATTTTGAATTGAAAATTTTCTAAATTTTTACACCCCCAACACTACGCAATTATCGTCCGATTCTCAAGAAATTTTGCATGGGGGTAGGGTTAGGGTCAGAATTAAAGCCTATTTTTTCTTAAGATGTACATTTAGAGGTGCAAATGGACTAAAAAAATTTACTTTTTCTAATTTTTGTAGTCGCTCTATAGGCCACAATTGAAAACTAATCGACACGGAATTTCGCAAGAGAGTTAGGGACAGGGAAGAAGTCTAGCATTTTGGATGACCATTGGATTTTATTTAGCTGTAAAATGGACCACAACTTTCGTATGAAATTGTTTTGAAGACTTAACAACACTATGAAGTGCGTAAATATTGGCCAAATTTTCCGGGTCAATTAACTAAGGGTAACCTCTGGGCGGGGCTCTTTGACATTATTTCAAAAACGAAAACTTCCAAAATGGATTTAGATATAAGGGTACTTCAAACATATTGTGGTGTTGTAGGGTATCACATGGTCGGCCCCGCTTACTTATTTTCTATTGTATTTTATTCCTAAGAAAAATCTAGAGAATATCGGACCTTACAGTTGTATGGGACAAATTAGAAAATTCCAGTCGATCGGACAGATGTATACCCTCAGCCAATATTCGAGTATTTAAATATATTTTGAATTCAGTTATGATTATTGTAATTGTTGACTCTCTATGGAGTAGGTTCCGAAGGAATGGAGCAATATTGTCCATTTCGTATCGGAGCTAAATAAGTATATTATAAATATTGAAACGTGCCAAGTTTGGACTATATTTAGATAATTGTAAGGAATCGCTGACTTGTTTCGTAAGTTATGATAGACAAAAGTATTGAAAATTGTGACCCTTTGGGGATGAGGTATAAGTGGGGTTCACAGATATAAATCATATTCGCAACAGATCTTGTCTTAGCAAAAATTTTTGTATGTGTTAAATTTGAAGAGAGTTGACATGTGTAAAATTTAAAGAAAATCGAACATTTAATTCCAATTTCATCTGAATAAATAATATGCAAAATTTTGAACTTTTGTGGGGAAGGGAACGTTTCAGAAGGGGTTGGCCGATAGATTCCATATTCAAATCCGATCTCCGGTTGAGAGAGATATTTAGCTACCAAGTTACAAAAGCATCGCTGACTTGTTTCGCAAATGATGAAAGATGCAAATATTGAAAATTATGACCCTTTGAGGGGTGGAAAGGGCTGATATATTTTATATTCATACTAGATTTGCTTTGCTGGTAAAACATTGAGACATGCGAAATTAGAAGACAGTCGAATACTTATTTTTTATTTTATGAGAACTATAATTGTTAATTAAAATGTTAACCTTTTGAGGCGGAGGTGCGAGAAAGAGACAAATTTCTGGTTGAAAAAATATTAAGACATGCTAAGTTTGAAAACAATCGCTGACTTGTTTCACAGAAGGAGTGGACCGACATATTCCATCTTCAACACCAGATCTTGTTTTAAAAAAATTCTAGAATGTGTGAAATTTGAAGACAATCGGACTCTTACTTCTAATTTTGTAAGAGTTATGATTATTCCAAATTTTGACTCTTTGTGAGGAAAGTACATGATGGTGTGAGCCGATATTATCCAGTTTCGCTACTGGCTTAGCACTAACAAAAATATTAGGATGTGCAAAGTATGCACAAAATCAAATGATCCTCTATCTTTCTATGAAGATAATTGTTTTTTTTTTTTTTTTTTTTTTTTTTTTTTTTTTTGAAAATTTCGACCTTTTGTGGTGGATGTTCCAGAAATAGTGGACCGATGTTGCCCATCTCCAAACTCGATCTAAGTTTGATAATGGTATTACACTCTACGAAGTTTGGACCAAATCGAATACTCACTTCTGTCTGGATGCGCACTAGCTAGAAAAACAGCCGGACGGACGGACATCGCTGGATCGATGTCCGGATTTGGTCCAAAAAGAACTGGGGTCTAAAAGCGTTATTTCGATGATGATGATGATATATACCCTCTCTAGTCATATGACTGAGGGTACAAAAAGTAACAGTAAACAGTGTAACAGTAATTATGTTAACACAAAATCTTCCAAATGTACATGTTCTGGAAGCTATTCCTATATTGACTATTGATTTGTAAGAAGTTAAAATACCCAATTAGAACCCGATATATATTGTTATGTAAGAATGTACTCGTATTTGAATGTGAAACAATATTTTCACCAGCAAAATTTTCTTAATAGTACTGCACATATCTATGCCAAATATCATTCAATTATCTTGAAAATTATAACCTCTAACCATCGAAGGGTTCACCGACAAAAAATGAAAATTTCAAGCAAAATTCTTTAAAAATGTATAAAAACCTGACATATCTAAAGGGGATCCCGGCCCCGCCCTGGCCTCGTCGGTGCCTCTTTCTCTACCTTTATCTGGATTTCGACAAATGGACGGCCATCCTTAAATCGACTAATACTTATCACAGATATGAACTTTATAGGGTCTGAAGCGAATGTTTCATCTGTTATCTTTTTTTATGTTTTTATGTGAGAATTCAATCATACACGTTGTGATTATAATTATAATTTAAAGTTCAAAGGACAAATATGCCGAAGCATTTGTATCTTTTAAATTCGGACTTGTATTGCCCATTTGGTGCAAAATTAATTTGAAATCGGAAAAAATATTATATGAGAGCTATATTCAAATCGGAACCGATCTCGATAAAATTTGGCAAAGATATTTGTGAGCTGTATTTGACATATTCCCTAAATATCGTTGTTACGGAGTGCATATTACGGCTGCGGGTAACAAATATAACAAATCGGATGAACAGTATATATGGGCGCTATATCTGAACCGATCTTCACCAAATTTGGCATACTACCTTCTAGACTCAATTCGGTCGTATGCGCCAAATTTCATCCCATTTGGGCGAATATTAGACGTTTGGTGCATAATCAAAAGTAAATCGGACGAAGTTATATATGGGAGCTATATCCAAATCTGAACCGATCTCGATAAAATTTAGCAAATGTATTTCTGAGCTGTATTTGATATATTTCCCCAAATATTGTTGTTACAGAGTGCATATTACGGCTGCGGAGGACAAAAATATCAAATCGGATGAACAATATATATGGGAGCTATAGCTTTATCTGAACCGATTTCGATAAAATTTGGTATACTTATTTTCAGGTCCAATCTGATCGTACGTGCAAAATTCCATACTATTCGGACTGATATTACACGTTTGGTGCACAATAATAGGCAAATCGGACGAAGATATATATGGGAGCTATATATCTAAATTTTGACCGATTAAAAGGTTCGTCCTTGGGTCAAACAAATGATTTGTGCAAAATTTCATCTGGATAGGGCAATAAATGCGAACTGTACATTGTTTACAAAAATACATGGACAGACGGACGGACGGACATGCATAAATCGACTAAGAATGTGATTCTATGCAGATCAGCAAAATGAACTATGGGTCTATCTCGTTTCCTTTTGACTGTTTCAAACAAATACACAAAGCCATAATATCCTGACCACCTTGTGGTGTAGGGTATAATCAGAACACACTAAGTAATGTAAAACTTGGCAACCCTTTTGTAAAGAGAACTGATTTAAGTGTTTCGATTGCAAAAAGCCGCATATTGAGTGCAAAACAATTTACACCGCACTGCCAAAACGATACTCCCGATATCTCACTGTTTTGTGTCATAATTTCTTGTTCTTTCTTTTTGTTTGCTCTTAAATATCGCCACTATGAGAAAACGAATAGGTATGACATTACAAACAAAAGAAGTACATCGAAATGGTCAATTGTCCCAACGGATCTAAATTGCACAGTAATTTAATTATGTGCAAAGTTGAAACTATCTAGAAACCCCACATAAAAATTACAATTTTTTAAAATGTTAATTTGTTTTAGGAGGGGTTCCAAAAGTAGTAAGCCGATGCCAAACATTTTTCCAGCCGACCTTAGCTTTATTTTACGACGTGCAATGTCAGGCTGCATTGGCTACTCCCTTCGCATTGTTTGAGACACATGCTTTTGGCAAATGTTAATGAACCGATATTTTTAATTTCCATTTTGATACAAATATTACGACGTGCAAAGTTTGGACTTAATGTATTGATAATTCCAATATAATAGGAAATATGATATGCCGCAATTCGAAGAATGTTGGGAAAGAAATTTATTATTATTTCATATTTGAACCCCATTTGCGGAATGATACTTATATTGTACCCATAAACCTGAAATGTGAACAATAAATCACCAAAGGCGTTCAACCTTAAAAAATAAGGAAGCGACATCGACTACAAGTGACTTTTAAATTATTTGTCTGTCAAATTTAAATAACTCGTTTTGCACTCATTAATCTGCAAATGCATATCAAACATTTGCTTAACTTCTTCAACATTCTGATAACAATATCTAACAAGTATATAACAAATACATATGAATGTATATACAAATCTTATCTGGCATTTTTTATATCAAATTTCAAATAATCTTAATTGACAAAAATCATTTTCTGATGGAGTGATCTTGGAAAGCACGACACACAGTCGTGAAGATCACCCCTGTGTATAGAAAATCATTTAAAAACCTCTTAAGGCAATAGACTTGTTGAATGCCTTATATAGGTAGATGATCTTTCTGAAATACGTGACTGTAAAGATATTTAATAGATAAGGTCATCTATAAACAGGAGGGCTTTAGACATCTAAAGGCTAATAACCTGGTAAAATCGGGTAAGGAAGATTACCTCTTCAAGGAGTTTTAATAACAGAAAACCTTTTCAAGGTTTCCTAATTGAAAGTACTTTTTTTAGGTATTTACAAGATTTTGTTTAAGAGTTCATCAAATGACCTTTTATAGGATTATTGGAAGCAAAAGCCATGTTAAGGTCTTCATAGACAGAAAACTTGATGAATGTCTTTACAGTCGGTAGACCTTTAAAGGCCAGAACACCTTTTAACGGTGTTTTCTAGACAAAAATATTTGTTCATGTTTAGTGTTCAAATGTCTTCTATATACAAAAGGCTCGTTGATAGAAGACTTGTTTGCGCCCTGTACAGAGACATGATCTTACAATGATTTCCAATGGACAGAAGTTCATTTTAAGTTTTATGAACGAGAAACCTTTAAACGTATTCATGGCAGAGGATCTTTTTAAGGTATTTTCCTGACAAAATACCATCATCAGCAGAAGAACTTTTAAAGAACACCTATGGGAAAATATTCTTTATAGCGTCAACTATGGACAAAAGACCTTTAAATATCTTCAATGGAGAGAAGACCTTTTGAAGTCTTCTAAAGGCAAAGGACCTCTAGACAATGATCCTGTAAGGGCAAAAATTCTCTGTGGAAAGCAGACTTCTTGAATTTATTCTGAGGGCAAAATGCCTCTTGATGGCATTGATTGGACAAAAGGTCTGTTGAAGGACGTCCAGAGATAAAACCAGTAAGACCAAGTAAAAAAACGACAATTCCGACAACGAAAAGCTTCTTTATAGACAAAAGACATTAAAGGTCTTCTATTTAATGAAGACATTTTAACGGTCTTCCATGGACAGGAGACATTTTCAAAGTTGTTTGAAGACATATGACATCTCTTAAAATTCCCTTAAGACAGAAGTTCTATAAAAATGCCAAACTTTAAAACCACGGAAATTATCTATTGAAGAAAAAAAGATTTCTAGGCCATTGACTACATTTGATCTTTCCGAAAGAGTTATTAAGAAGACTATGGGGGCTATCTTAGCGACAGTTTCATTTTGGGAGTTTATATGTATATAACTTAAATTAACCCTAACCATGAATGCAAAGAACTTTCCATTTGCACCCAATTGAGTTGTAGACAAAACCATATTCATTGCTGGTCAAACAAATACCAATAAAGGATATAAATTTTATGACAGGTAGGTGACATGCAATCTTTAGTTTTTCTTTGCATTTCTCTCTCTATCTCTCCCTATCTACAAGTTTATGTTCCGTTCGGCTATAACTTGTTTATCCAGGCAATGAATTAAGGAATCATGTCCACCACAGCTATTTGTTTTTATCGAAATTTCCCCCAAAGGAGCACTTTGATGAAAGTCGAGACAATATCGTTTTGTTGTTGTTGTTGCTGTTATTGTTTCACACATCTATTCCAGCCAGGCCATAAATACCAGAAATGAGAAATGACAAAAACAAAAGAAAAACAAATGGCAAGAAAAAAGAAGAAGAAACCAAGAAACTTTATGCCATCCATATCTGTTACAGTATTTGTTTTGGATAATGCCGGATTGTAATATGTTCGAGAATATGCCATTGCCTGGCGAGCTATGAGATTGTAGAGTTACTGTAGAAATATGTCGAGACGGATGGTCATAAAAAGAAAGAAATAGCAAAAAACTTCAAGATTGCACTGAAACTTTCTTAATTCTCACATTGTTCGTTCACTTTTTACACCCTACACCACAAGGTGGTCGGGGTATTATGTCTTTGTGCATTTGTTTGTAACAGGCAAAAGGAAACGAGATAGACCCATAGTTCCTTTTAATGATCTGCATAGAATCACTTTCTGAGTTGATTTATGCATGTCCGTCCGTCTGTCCGTCCGTCTGTCCATGTATTTTTGTGAACAAAATGCAGGTCGCATTTATTATCCGATTGAGATGAAATTTTCCAAACAACATTTGTTTGGCCCAAGGACGAACCCTATTGAAATTTGAGATAATCGGTCAAAATTTAGATATAGCTCCCATATATATCTTCGTCCGATTTGCCTTCTATTGTGCACCAAACGTGTAATATCAGCCCGAATAGTATGGAATTTTGGACATACAACCAAATTAGGCCTGCAATCGAAATCGGTTTAGATATAGCTATAGCTCCCATATATATTGTTCATCCGATTTGTTATTTTTGTCCTCCGAAGCCGTTATATGCACTCTGTAACAACAATATTTGGGGAAATATATCAAATACAGCTCAGAAGTATCTTTGCCAAATTTTATCGAGATCGGTTCCGATTTGGATATAGCTCCCATATATATTTTAATCCAATTTCAAATTAATTGTGCACCAAATGGGCAATACAGGTCCGAATTTAAAAGATAAAAATGCTTCGGCATATTTATTCCTTTGAACTTTAAAATATAATTATAATCACAGCGTGTATGATTGAACTCTCCCATAAAAACTTTTAATTGTTATGCGGAGCTCTACCAAATTACAAAGTGGTGTAGGGTATCATAAAGTCGGCCCCGCCCGACTTTAAGACTTTCTTTACTGGTTTTCTTTTCATTTCAATTTTTTCTCACAACTTTAACAATTTTTGCATGAATGCCATGGAACCCAAACACCAACAACAACGATGGCAACAACAAAATCAATATTCGAACATGAACACCATTATGGGTAACGAACAAAAATCCACTTAACATGGGACTTGGACTGTGTTAAAATCTCTCTCCACTCTCCCCTCCACTCTCTCTACTGGATGATGGGTATGACAATGATGATGATGATAATACTGCCAATGATGACAATGGCATTTCATGCTGACGACGACGACGATGATGATGACGATAATGATATTCCTCTGCTACATCTTCTTCTACTTCTTGGCCAATTCAATTAAAATACATCAACTTTTTTCCCTAAAACAACAAAAACAACTCCATTTCACTTTGAAACTCTGTTGCAAATACTCACTTGCTGATATGTTTTGTTGTTGTTGTTTCTCTTCAAATCACAAAAGGTTATCACTTTGGGTGCTACCATTGCCAGCATTGAAGTGCCCGATGCAAATGGCCATGTGGAGGATGTTGTGCTCGGCTATGATGATGTTGCAGGTAAGTGCAATGCGAAAATCTAGAAGAAGAAGAAAAATAACATTTAGCATTAATACATACATACATATTGCATAAAGCTTAGTATAAGTAGAATTTCAGATAACATTCTGGACGGAGAGATTTTCAAAACTCTCAACGAATTGAATGAGAAATTTTGTAGATCGATTTGCTATTCAGGGTATTTTGTCGTTTTGCTTTTTTTAGTACCATTCAACTTAGTTGGGGACTGTTTAGGGCGGATTTGGAACCACAGTGTCAGTAACTACTTACATCTCATTATTTTTATACCCTCCACCTTGGAAAGGAGGGTATATTAACTTTGTCATTGCGTTTGTAACATCCTTAAATATTCGTCGTAGACCCCACAAAGTATATATATTCATAATCAGCATAAATCTCTAAGTCGATTTAACGATGTCCGTCTGTCTGTCCGTCCGTCTGCCTGTCTGTTGAAATCACGATACAGCCCACATTATATGACGTAGAGCGCCAAAATTTAGCAGAGCAATTTGTGTTGTGCCTAGGATGGTTGGTATTGAAAATGAGATATATCGGTCCACGATCTGGTATAGTCCCCATACAACGGTACCTCCCGATATTCGGTATTTTGATGATTTATGCCACATTTTTTCACGGATTTGTCTGAAAATTGGTATTTGTAAGTCATAACGGGTTCCTGAGCGTGTGGCAAGACATTGCATGTATAGGTCCACGTTTTGGTATAGACCCCATATAAAGGTACCTCTCGATATTCGATATTTTGATTATTTTTGCCACATTTTTTCACGGATTTGTCTAAAAATTGGTATTTGTTGGTCATAATGGGTTCCAGCTCCGGTAGCGAAACATTGCATGTATGGGTCCACGATTTGGTATAGTCCCCACATAACAATACCTCCCAATATTCGACATTTTAATGGTTGTTGTCAAATATCTTCTAATGTTTCCTTTACCCTAAGGTGGAGGGTATTAAAAGTTTGGCCCGGCCGAACTTAATGTTTTTTTACTTGTTTAACATTGATGTGTTATAGAAAGTATGTACTATGTACAAAATGTCATTAATTCGAACATCTTTATACCCTTCACCAATTGGAAGAAACTTGAATAATCCCAAAAAAAATCTTCCTAAATGAAAACCGTTATAAAGGGACTATACCATAATATAAGTATTATTCTGTCATAAGTTATAATACTCATTACAAACTTCAAATACGAAATTTGAATCAATTCCGCTGAAAAATTTCGTTAATATCATCAAAATAACGAATAAAGGGAGGTACCATTTTATGTGGTCTAAAACTAGAAAAAGGTCTATTGAAGGACGTCCAGAGACAAAATCAGTAAGAACAAGTAAAAAAACGAAAAGTTCCGCCAGATCAAACCTTTTTGACCCTCCACAATTTGCAACGAATTTGACAATTTTTAAAAACAAGAAATTCGTTAAAATTGCTCTTAAAATCTCAAAAATACAGAATGTAACCATTAAATTAGGGTCTGTACGACGATGTGGACCTGCATAGGCAACTTCTTCCATTGGCCATTACAATATTCAAATACAAAACTTGAATAATGTAGCTAAAATCATTAAAATACCGAATATAGGGAGGTACTATTATATGAGGGCTACACCAAAACGTGAACCTGCATAGGCTATAGTATCCATTAGGAACTTCAAATAACAAATTTTAAACAATTCCGGTGAATAATGTCGCTAAAATCGTCAAAATACATAATATCGGGAGGCTCCGTTATATGGAGGCTATACCAAAATACCAATACCAAAAGTCCTACAGACATAATATACATTTGAGTGAATTTTTATCAACCTACTTAATTTCGTTCGGAAGCTAGATTGATTTCCGCAGACGGACAGACGGAGGTGGACAAAGGGATGTACCATAATATGTGGGCTAAAAATCGCTAAATCCAATTAGAATTTTACGCTGATCGTGAATATGAGATGAAAAAAGGCAACCAACTTCAGACTGCTGTCATTTCTAAGTCACTTGTCCAACCCCTGTTAAAATTATTCCAGTTACAGCCCATAATATTGTTTACAAGCGTACAAAAGCATTTTGGTGAGAATTTTCCAGAAAAAAAGTTATTCGTGATGGAATTCAAGCGTGATAGTATGATTTCTTTATATTTGGCTGGGAAACCACAAGTGGCTATCGTTAGGGCACTCCAGCATTTAAATGTGAATGAATCTTTTGTGTCTCGTACCACCGCTCGTAGCCCGACGTCAAGGAAGTGGACGGAAGAAAACAGCAGTGACCGAAAAATGGCTCGTGAGCTGAACATATCGGAATATTCCATTCGGCAAATATTGAAAAATATTGAAAAAGTTCGGGGTAACGCCACCGCAGCAGAAAGAAAATATACTCAAACGAGCCAAAGAGTTGATATGCTTGGCCGAAAGTGGTGATCTGCCGAATTTGGGTTTCCCCGATGAGAAAACATTCGTTGTCCAGCAGTTTGTTAACAACCAAAATAATTTGGCTTTATTATCCGGCCATGGTGATGGTGTGGGCCGCCATAACAGCCGATGGTCGCTCTCCGCTCGTATTAATCGACCGTGGCATCAGAATTAATGCCGAATAGTATCCCGAAAATATTATGACACGCAAATATTTTGGAAGCAGACCTTCGACATTCCATCAGTATTCAGCACCATCGTATTCAAGAATGGTTACAAAATGAGGTTTCTCGCTTCATATCCAGCACACAATGGCCACTAAAATCTTCGAATACCAATCCGTTGGACTATTGCGTCTTCAGTATTTTGGAAAGCAAGGTTGGCACTAAAAAATAAAATAAATATCGATCACCTCAAGCAAGCGGATTACCGGGAATGGGCCAAAATATCGTAGAGCAACATTCGGGCAGCGTGTGACGGTTCTATTAGCCGTTTGAAGGCCATAATTTGTGCCAAAGGTGATCAATTCGATCAGATCTAAACTTATTCTAAAATTTGAGGCCATTTTCGACATTTTTTGCTTTCATTCAAAAAAGTTTAAAACAAAAATATAAAAATTATGGTGTTTGACTTTGTTGCAGTTTTTTTATCTCATCCTGTATAAAGAAGTCACACTATCACGCTTGAATTCCATCACGAATAACTTTTTTTCTGGAGAATGCTCACAAAAATGCATTTGTACTCTTGTAAAAATATAATGATCTGTCACCGGAATAATTTTAATAGCTGTCGGACGAGTGGCTCATATATCAATGAAGGGCATGTTAGTTAGACCGCTTATAACTCAAGAACGGTCATATATTTTATCGCATGAGTTTTCTTCACATTTGCCTTAAAATATTGAATTTTACGTTTGGTAATATTTCTTCACCTTACAACACCATGTTTTGGGAGTGTTATATTCATGTCGTCATTATCATCCGATTCTCAAAAAATTTTACATGGGATAGAGTAGGGGTCAGAATTAAAGCCTATTTTTGCAAGATGTATATTTAGGGGTTAAAATGGACCAAAAATTAAAAGTTTCTCGATCTATTTCTACAGGTCACAATTAAAACTGATACAGAATACAATCGATACAGAATTTTGCATGAGGTTAGGATTTAAGACAGCACAGAAGTGTAGCATTTTGGACGACCCTTGAATTATATTTAGGTGGTAAAATGGACGACAACTTTTATGTGAAATTGTTTTGGATACCTCTCGGCACAATATAGAGTGTAAATATTAGAAAAATATCCTCGATAAAAAACCAAAGGTAGCAGGACAGTATGTGAAAAATGTGTTTGGACCTACGGAGGTTGTCCAATATTTTATAGTGTTGTACGGTATCACATGGTCAGCCCCGCACGATTATAGCCTTTGCTTACTTGTTTTTAACTTGTGTTTGTGCGTTTTCTTTAATAGATTACAATATTCCCAAGAAACCCAACATCCGATTCATTTTGAATCATGCTAACGCGGGTATGCTTTAATACTAATTTTAAGCTACAAAGTCATTGTACAGCGCAGCATCTGAAAATTGTCAACTTCGCTAAAATACATTGCACTTCCAATTGGTATTTCTGCAATTTTTCTTTTAATAACGCGAACGCAATGACAACGTCTTTTTTTCGCAATTTTGACCAGCTCCATTTAGAGGTTAGCCACATCCGATGGCTTGCGAAAAATCGTGGAAGGGGTTAAAGACAAAAGTTTTAGTGCTTTGACGTTTTTCAAACGCTTAGTCACGAAATATGCTGTGTAAAGAATGATGATAGTTATTTCGTTTCTTCTTTGGTAACATTCTTCTTGTTTTTCCCCACTGGTTCTTTTTTTTATTGAAGTGCTGAGTTTTTTTGGTGTTTTGCCTTTTTTTTTTTTTTTTTTTTTTTGTTTTTCAGGATTTTTTGATGAACAGTCATATTTTTTGTTTTGCTTTTTGGTTTAACGTAGCTGGGTAGCACCATCACCGCTATCCGCTGATGGAGTAATAGTTTGGCCAACTATGGCCATAGCATTCTATTTTATGACCTCAAGTTTTTGTCTCTCGTTTGATGGAAGGAGTTTTATGACTTTGATGGCACAAGGAACTCTTTTTTTGGAAGAGCAGGAGGGGGGGTTAGATGAGGAGATATTGAAGAGTTGTTTCGTGTTCTGTCTCCATTGTTTGAAGGGGGGACAAATTTAATCTAGAAACCCAAAGAAGAGAATAAAGCCAAAACGACAGTTGGGTTAAATGATGACATGCAGCATTTCTGATGTGGTTGACATTGATTTACATAAAAGTGTTATGTCCATGTGCGAATATAAGATAATGGAGGGACATATGTATATGTCCTTTGTGCGAAAACAAAAAATCAAGATTTGTTTTGAATGTTACATCGTTTTCCAATACTTATATCACTTTGAATGATACCAGTTACAAATATTGTTTTGAGGGAATGTATTTTAATCTGTTTATTTAGGACAGAAATAATGAAGAAAGTCCAGGCATGGCACATTTTAGTTTGCTTATAAGATTTATAGCATATTTGGCAATATC